TATCGCCTCACACGCAAAAGATGCGCCAATAATCACCCTATTTTTGATTGCTTGTAAATTTCAGATTTGCGCTTGAAGATGAACTTCAATCAGGAAACAGACACTTTTTATGTAAGCTATCCGACTTATTAACGATGTACGAGCATGTGACTAGTTATCTGAGGCTATCACGTGACAGCTATTGCGCGAACGGCTTACGTAATTTTTTGTCGATACACACATGAAAGTCGATGAGTTACAGCCACTTTGTTCGACATGGACTATCCATATTTTCGCTTCGTGGAAATCTTGCTGAATGAGTCACATTGTATAGTTACGTATTCGTTCCCTCCAAAAAGGGGAAGTTTGAACTCATATATTCATCACAAGTCAAATTCGAGGAAGTCTCACATCAATGGTTTAGCTTCAGATGGAAGTCTAAATTAGAAACGCAAAGATCTTTTCGTTGTCTTACTGATACAGCTAGAGAGTTTTTAGAACGTATTGTTTAACTTCACCATGTACGTTAGTGCCCTTTCTACCCGAAGCATATTCACTTACACAAGTTTCTCGAGAAGTAAATTACAAGAGCACAGTACTCATGGGACGTGTTTATCGGAATCATGGTTCCGAAATGCACTCAGGCCTCGTACCACCGAAATGTGGATGGAAATGAGTTGCGCGTCTTCACGAAAATTTGGCGAGATCAATAGATGCCTTCTGTGACCTTGTGGAGTCAGACAGCATATGATTCTAAAGTAAGGACTATGAGGGACATTAAATAGAGTTCGGATGTGTCTGATCGATTGTGCCAAGCCCCATACTGTGCGATATCTTACCGTGTCCTTTGGATAAGAACTACTGTGTATATTTGGGGCTATCAGATTATATCCTTGACGGCACTTGCGTATACTACTGAGGAAACGTGCGAGTAGTTTTTGGTCAAGTGTCAAAAGACAAAAAATAACTCTGCAGTAAAGTTCTTCATCCTCTTATTTATTTTTAATGTTTGAGCATTATTAAGCGTCTTCGTGAAATTTCCTGAACGTTCTTTGAATATGAAACAATAATATACAGGCATTACAAAGTGATCCCATAAGGACAGAGATTTGACACTTGATCATACACTACTCGCTTGCTTTGCAAGTAGTATGCACAGGGTAGCCTGAATCTTCTCCATTAGAGCGATGTAACTGCAGTGGTATCTGGATACCCAGGACAGCTTTTCTGAGTAAGCGAATTAATATTCTCCTTTCGCCTGGACTCAATACTTTAAATTCGATGAATAACCGCTGGATATCCTTGACTGAGTCGTATTCATACTCAGAATGGTGGACCTGCACAACGCAAACCGTCGATATCGTTACAGGTGCTTGGCTGTTGTGTCACCTAGGTTGCATACAAAAATAAGCATGAAGAAGATCTGTTATGGAGAAACATGATATGAAGGCGAATGACCGTGGTGATAAGAAACCCAATAAACATCGTGCGCTGCTTCAGTCCGTGCTCTAACCCGTTGATACTTTGATGAATGTGGGGGGTTTGCGGGAGGCGGAGGTTTATTGTTCAGTCTCACATCACTCTCGTTTTGAACAGTCGTCCTCCTGTCCTGGCGCAATTATTCATGTGAATCCACACCAAAGGGGGAGGAAGCACTGGACTCGAGTTTCGCTCTTGTTAGAGCTCATCAGCAGTGCACATCGTCACAACCAGGACAGTTACTAGGTCGTCGTATCGATGGTGTGTCGGGCATACTAATCACATCGCTCAACTGAGAACACGTTCGCCCGTTCAGATGTGAGAATTCATATCCGTCCAACGCGCGCTGTTGGAATAGTAGTAACACGTTCGCCTCGCATGTCAGATGTCCGGAGTTCAAACCCCGGCATAGCCATTGGATATGCACTACTGATGAGCTCTAACAAGAGCGAAACTCGAGTCCAGTGCTTCCTCCCCCTTTGGTGTGGATTCACATGAATAATTGTGCCAGGACAGGAGGACGGCTGTTCAAAGCGAGAGTGATGTGGCACTGAACATGATTTCGCGGTGAGTTGTTCCAAAAAACAGTGCTGTATTGTGGTTACCTGATTAGGATGGATGTCCGTATCCACTTTGATAGTCGGTGAGGATTCACCCGTTTGATGTGGATTCGTTGCTCCAGGACAGGAAAGGGTCCGTTGCTCCAAGGGCGATACGAATCCAAAGTTGATTACTCGTATGGGTTGGTAGCGTACGTCAACTCCACTGTGTGAAATTCCCTCCTTAGTAGAAAATCAGATGATTCGAGACCCAGAACGCCGCACTTCTTTGGGTTTGTTCTCTCGGAACGGTTCGATTTTGGAGAATCCAGTCCCATCCGAATGGTTTTCGGTTCAACATGGCTGCTGTATCATCTATGAAGGTGCGCAAAGGCAATTTGCGGTATCTGTTACGCACAACTCTACACTGATTAGGTTACCTCGATTAGTGAGTAAACGCTTGCCATCAAACTGTTCAGATCGGCGAACAAACCAATTACCAGTGGAAGGAAGAGGGCCTTCGCTGCGGAGCTATTTATTAGATGCCAACTGAACAGTTACAGACTATTGAACAAGGAAGCAAAACTCTCATATGCATCTTGTTTACAAAATCTGAATACCCATCTTCTCCTTGAACGTGTCTTCTGGAACTTTCCTGGATATTCATTAACTGTTGCTCAAATCCAAGCAAATGCGACTCCACAAACTCCGTAATAGATCTCACTTTTCGAAAGCCGCGAAGCGGATTTACGAGAAAACATACTACTCGCATGCCCCCATCAGTAGTATCCAGTGTTACACCAGTAGACTTCCTGCTGTGAATGAAGCCAATCTATGCTGAAAAGCTGAGAGGCACTAGGCAGGCGGTTCATCCTCAGTTCATATTTCGCGAAACTCAGAGTTGCGAATCCGTGAGCCCCCTGGTTAGTACTTTGAACACATGTCACTCGAGGTGACAGTCAACACGTGACCATGTTGAACGATGAGTTGCGCAGTATCCTGCGCTCAACACACTGCTGATCGGCAGTTAGTGGCTGAACGATTGATTGTTCAAGCTACTGGTCAGATGATTGTGAGGACTCGAAACTCCCTGATATTCCGTGAAATGATTCCCCATAAAAATGAAACAGTCGCGCAATTCTTCCCGTCTTTTCAGCCCAGATTAGTTCACCCACAAGATGAAATCCCTTTAGGGTTGAAGTAGCGACTGGCCGTCGGTTTGTTTGTTGATCTGGGCAGGTTGTGGGTGGTGCGGTCCAAGCAACCAATATTTTGCTGGTCAGCAATCTAGACACTAGTATCAGGAAACCAGGAGAAGAAAACCCGTGTTTTGTAGTCCGATATACCAAAGCCAGAGAGTTGGTTTGTCAAGGACTTTGTTGTTGAGCGGATGTGCGAGACTTGGTTGTCTTCATTTCCAAAGTCCTGCGAAAGTACACCTGCACAAACTTCCCAACTGACTATAAATTGATCTATGTATAGTACAGAAGTTCAAAATATATTTACTGGAGAATTCAATAGTGATTCCTTCGCCCTGTGACTTGAACGAGAAATCCCTCCTCTCTTGAGAGCACTCTACTCCGGATTAACGAACTGCCTCCAGGAATAATCATTTCGGAGCTCGTCCACTTCGCTCTTTCCTTAAGAATGCGTTCCTATTTAGGGCGCTTTTTGGGGACGTAGCATTTTGCATATGAATTACATCTTCCTTAAATTGAATAAAAAAAATGAATGGCGTAGAATTTCACCCTCTGGGGACAGCATTCTACGCAAAAGCTGTCCGCATTTTGCTAATTTCTTTGTGTTTTTTTTCCAAAACTTACCAAATTCGAATACAGCGGACAGTGACTACTGTCGGCCCAGAACTTTAAGCGAAAAACACAAAACTTACCGAAGAAAAGTTATTGTTCAACTGACGCAACCGTATCTTCAGATATCCATCTAAAATCTGTCCCGGTGGGGGAAGAACACACTAAAACAAATTGCTCTGATATCCCAAACCTCTGACATTTACCTCGTTAGACTACACGGAAAACATGTGTTACTGTCATCTCTCCGCGAACTACCAGGCCCAAAGTATACCTATGTCACGGCCAATCTGTCCAAACCAAATGCCACTTACAAATGACTAAGAATACTAACCGACCGGGCATACAAACCCGTCATGTGACTACTTAATAACTAGTTGAAAACAAGACGTGTGACATTTTTGTGTTTTTCACTACACGAGTCTTCGATCTTTGCTTATCTAGACAGTTTTGTGTGCATTCGGTTAGGGAGAATTTCTAGAAATCATTTGCGTGGTAACAAAATTCCTCGTGTCACACTACATTAGTAGTATGTAGCTATCGAGTGTCGTCAACCTTGGTTATCTGATACAAGTTATGGGTAGTTAGTGGATCCGAAGAAATGGAGATTGAATCGATGACGCTCCCTGCTTGCAGATTTCTCGTTCACCAAATTTTGTTCGTCTGCCAATCGTCCACGTTTCCAACGTATTTTCTTTTACGAATTTTGTTCGCATCTGTACGTGCTGATCAAACTGAAAATCGCGCCTCTCCCAGTTCAGTCGGGTCGGTGCTGTATCCGACTGGTTAACAGTGATACTGTCCTACATGAATGATGCTACGTTTCCGGACAAACGTGCCCATTTATTCAAACAAAACAGCATTGTGAACAGCAGCCGGAGAGCGAGAACAGCTTACGGACAATCTACGAACTCCGCAGCACTCAAATATACTATCAGCGCCAGTCCCTTAACTGCCTTGTACTTTAGTGTAATAAACCAAGCGTGGGAAGGGCCATGTAGGCACCAACATGATCTTAGAAACCGAGCAAGGACGCTGGGTCAGGCACACCAATCACACCCCTCAAGTGTGAACATGTTCGCCTGTTCAGATGTGAAAATTCAGATGCATCCGTCGTGCGTTGGTGGAGTAGTGGTTACACACTCGCCTCGCATATCGGATGTCCGGCGTTCAAATCCCGGCACGGCGAAACCCGAGTCCAGTGCTTCCCTTTGGAGTGGACTCACCGAGACAATTACGCCAGAACAGGAGGATGATTGGTCAAACGAGAGTGGCGTGACTATGGACGGAATACCTCCCCCGCTTTCTTCTGCAGGTCATACTTTGTCTGCAGTCAGACTTGCGGACTTGCAGTCAGTTGCGGATAAATAGCCGTGGAAACACTCGTTCTGGGAATACGAGCCATCGATTCGAGAGAGGCGAAGTGACCAACTCTCGTAAACCGCGGCCGTCAGCGCTGTTGTGCAGACCAACACCCCAAGCAGCCACCAGCTCCTCCTTAGTGTTTACGCTACTCGCCTCAGGCAATCACCTGATAACACGATCTCTGCGGTTGATTCTCTCAAAGTTGCATTTGAGCTATCAGTCATTTTTATGTTGTCTCCCGGTTCCGAAAACACTGGCACTGTCATCCTCAGAGACAAGTGTTTGCTTGGTTCATTCATGATCGCTCTGTTCGCTAGCTGAACTCATGGTTGGCTCTTGGACTTTTACGAGTTTCCGATGTTTACCCCCCCCCCCACAAACAACACCAGTACCGAGTCTCTTTCTACTCATATTCAGAATGTGGTAAGAAAAAACGTTCATTACAAACACCATGGTGCGAGTGGAGAAACGGGATACAACTTAGTTTCCTCACCTTCTTTGGAACTGGTTTTGACGAGGATTCATCTCACTACTAGCAAAAGGTCAGTAACCTAAAATTTTATTACTAATAGATCTTTGTCATTAGTTTCTTCGCACTGCAGGTTCCCATCCTCTGTTGGTCCAGCGGATTTAGCAGTGCAACTGAATGTTTGGTACGAAAGGCCGGGAGTCTCGAGATGCATACCGCAGGCGTCTACTCACACAGATGGCTTTGCGGATTACGTCCACCAAATTTAGGTGACTACCGATCCCCCTCTTTATTGGGCTTGATACTATCAATTGGAAAATGTTTGCAACCGATTGGGCAATCATCGTTCGAGAGAGGTTTGGTAAACAATCGGTGGATTTATTGCTGGGCAACGTCTCGCTTTTGACTCAGAAAGCTTCGTCAGGCCAAGTGAGGAAGTTGGTAATTTTATTGGATTTTAAGGCAGTCAGGCAACCAATCGGTGAGATTTCCTAAGCCTAGTTGACTTGATTCGTGCTGGATCAGTCTGATGTTTCTGTTTTTTGTTTGGTGAGGATGACTAATATTTACGATAGATTGGTTAGGAGAGTTGTCATCATGCTGAACCCGGGTTTTTGCGGCCTTGATTTTCCCGTCTTGGACACCCTAATGGAATATCCCTCCTGGGGTTGTCCACACATATCGTTCACCTGTGTTCGTCAAAAGGTGCCGGGACAATTGGCCAGTCATCCCCACTGACCAACACACAGGAACATCAGACCGAACATCCAGGATTGATCAAGTCGACTAGTCATAAGAAATCTCACGGATTGTTTCCCTGACTGCCTTAAAACACAGTCAACCTACTTACTTACTCATTTGGCCTGAGGAAGCTTTTGTGTCGAAGGCGAAACGTTGAAACCCGTTCCAGTTTGAGTTCAAGTAAAATCTAAGGTTGAGGAAAACTCCCAGACCGCGCCAATCTGATGATGTCTAAGATGGGCTGTCGAAAGGCTTTTAAAAACTTGAAACTATTGAGCACTGTTCCTCTGTGAAAATACTATAATAGCTCGAGTACCGTATTTCAGCTGAAACGTGAGGTGGTCCTTGTGTAGCACAAATAAAATATGCCAGGATGCAAAATTTCGCCAAAATTTCCTAAATGAATAAATCCGGTAGGGCCACGACTACTCGCGCAACGGTGAATATTACTGATGGGGCATGCGAGTAGTATGTTTTCTTGTAAATCCGCTTCGCGTCTCTTGAAAAGTGAGATCTGTTACCGAATTTGTGGAGTCGAGTTTGCCTGCACTTGAGCAACAGTCAATGAATATCCAGGAAAGTTCCGGAAAACGCGTTCAAGTAGGAGATGTACATTCAGTTGTGTAAACAAGATGCTTCCCTGTCCAATAGTCTGAAACTGTTCGGTTGGTGTCTTCTAATGAACAACCCCGCATCGAAGGCTTTCCTTTCACTCGTAGTCTCTTTGCACCACAGCAGAAGTTTCCAAACGTTTTTGGAAAAAAAACACCACAGTGATCCTCCTTGAAAGGGCCATCTAATATTTCCTTCCGTCCACGGCTGAGTAAAAAGATGGAACTATGTCAACGGAATTCGAACACCTGATTAGTAACATACCTGTGAAAATTCGAGACTGACATGGGAAGCACAGCGAAGTTCGAAAGTCAGTGATGTCCATTCCCTTGGTAGAAGAAGTTGCGGATTGTTTTTCGTTCTCAAATTCCTCAGCTATCACCTCTTAGCTCAACTCATCACTTCGAACTGTCTGCATTCAATGAGTGAAAAGTTGAAACAAGATTATTGAAAATGTATCTAAGACATCGGTGAAAGACGCCCTATACCATCACGTTCAAGACGGACTCTTTGAATGGAGGCCGTTCCCCTGAAGAATACATGAAAGCACCTAGGGCGTGGCCAAGTGTTCCAGCCCTCGGAAGAAAGAGTATTCTCTTGAGAATTTCATCACTTCGTCCTAAAATGGTGTCCCACTGTTGTGACTTGCTGAACGGTAGTGCAACTCTGTATCGGTCACTTGGCTTCATACTCCGCCCACTGTGGCACGTCAAAAGGCACGGTAGATCTACACAGCCCTTTTTGGAGACAAAAGGAGGAGCATTACATCTGTATTTACCAGGTAATTACAGAGTGCTCCACAAGGTCGTGCTAGAATCTCCGTGAGGGGGGCGAGAAGCGCCGAGTCAAAGATGTTCGATCCGGATTGGCTGGAATTCTGACCAATCAGAGCACGCCTTTTTTGGTCTGTGTCCTGCAGTGCCCCAACCGTCCAAATGATGTGATGTTCGGTTATTAGGGACGGCTGGCCTCTGTACACCCACCCACTGGCGGTTACTGGCTGCCTAGAGACCCCATAACTTCATACTTTATGCTTCGTGATTCTGCTTACATCTATTCTAGCGATTCTTATGTGAGGAGTTGAAATTCTATGCATGTCCAAGTACGAGAGCACATGCCACAGTGCCCTAGAATTTGGCTTGTCGTGGGTTTGTCACTCAATGACCTTATCGAGTTGGACAGGAATGGGGGCGTTATTCGCAACATCACAGCACCTTGTTTGTGTTTGGGTAATTCACGGTGCCAAAACGAGAGGCATGTGAACACTGTTCATCGTCATACCGTAGTCGGTTTGTTGTCAACTCACCAGCACCGGGACAACCAGCTACTGTTCACTGATTTGCGACATACGGAGATACATTGCAAATGTATGCGATTTATCAAAGCACTAACTACGGAAAAACCGGCTGCCGGCCCTAAAGCGCTTAGTGATAAATGAGGGTATTCGATAGCAGCAAAATTTTGTTTACACGCACACGGATCCACTGCGGTAGGTGGAGATGCATGATGACAGTTTCATGTAAAACGCTCAGCTTGAAGTCATGGGCACGACAATTCGAATCGGCCTTGTGATGAACGAACACAACTGTCAGTTGGTTACAAATGTCCACGATAGCCGGTCAACGGTAGTCAGCCCACCTTCGGACGGCGACCATTCCACTTTCAAACCGATACCTGTTGAAAGATCACCCCCAAACATAGAGCATTCTCACTGTCCCCGTGGTACAAAATATCTTCGCAGCAAACGCCAGGATATGAAATTCATGGCTTAGGGTATTATGTGTGTATTTGATCCACTCAAGTGTCTACCACAATCTGTGTAGGCCGATACAATAGAGAACCTTGTGCCAGAATTCCACCAGAGGGTTCCAGATTGTTCACATCATTGTCCCATCGTGAACCATACTGCCTATCCAACTTACAACTTGTCCAACTACTTAAGCATTTTGGTGAACACGTGTTATCAGTTGGTGATAAGTCACGTGACTGACTGGTGGTTGATCGGATTACAGTTGATCAACAAATTGACACGTGACTGACTTTTCGATTTTGTCGATAGCCTCCAATCTACCCACATCAATAATGATGAGCTGGCAGTCAGATTTGGCGTGACAGCTCCTTATACTGAACAATGTGCTGCAACTAATCCGTCTCCCGGTTGCTGAGGGTAACTGCGGTTACTCCCTTGATCGTGAACAGTATCTACAAATAGTGGCATGCTCACATGGTGTTCATTCTGCCTGCAGGCCATTTCTGAGCAGCGCTAAAGCCACAAAAGAGGATCAGTTTCCGAATTGCGTGCCTCCTAATTTCCAAAGTCCTCCCTTAAATATCTTCGACGTTCAATGCAGAAGCTTGGTTTTCAGTACATATTTCAGGGGGGCAACTTATGGGTATTTTGACCCATGCACCTTTCAGGAGGTTAGAAACTTGAGGCATACTCTTCCCATCGTCGATTGCAATACACCTGCATTGGATGATGGTGCTTCGTTGCCATGCACCCATGAGGGAAAACCCCCCAGTAAAGCGTGAAAAGAATCTAATAGAAACATTCTTATACATCATACATTTGATCAGTTCCTTGGGCTTCTGATGATGTGCATATAGCTGAACCCTATAAACGGTGATTTTCAGATGGGACATGGGGGAGTGACTAGCTGATGACGAAGAGAGATGGGGGACACTGGTAGTCGCTTATTCACCCTGCTGCATACACTGAATAAGGCCACGTGGCTGATATGACCACGTGACCGAGGCTGGGCATGAATGTACCAACTAATGGTGATCAATAGTGCAGGGAGAATGGGTGCGACTTATGGCTTCTCACAGCCATACCTGTGCCCTGTGAAAACGAATCGGGGCTTCTTAGTGATTGTTGTGGTGAAGCCCACGGTTTCCTCTGATAAAATAGAATTCAGAGCTCCAGTGGAGGTCTTTATGTGAGCGAAAGGGTAGGAATCTATGTAAGCTGAAAACAAGCAGTTGGTTCGCAATGCCAGGAACTTATTGTATTGAAATGTTAGGATAGTTTCTGGACTAGTCAAATCGATATCATATTGGGAGGAAGAATGTCAATTTAGTTCACAACCTGGAGATTTAGCTGAACAGACTGCAGCGTTAAAATACTCCTGCTGTAAGATATTTACCAAGATGAAGATTCAAAGACAATTCACTCTCAAAAGTGGGTATCCCGTGAAACGCATGCAACATGCTGATCTGAGAACATTCATTAAAAAGAGGGATTTCTCGAAACCTATCATCAAATAGCAGTTCTACTCCGTAACCAGAGTCGTCTTTTACCCAATACCATCGTTTTTCTCGCCGAACCGGGAACTTCTACCCGATGAACGTAGAAAAGAGCTTCCATGACCATTTAGACTGTGGGAAGTAGAAGTGATTTGATAACACATATGGGATATATTACCGATGGCTTACGGAGATCACAATGAGGTGATAACACAGGGTGAGTGGAACGTGTGAAAACAAGAGACGCGGTAAAAATCTGTCCAGTGCGTATCCCGTTACGTATCATTCGTCTTCTGGATCTACCACCACAACAGGGAATTCCACGCATACCGCACTGTTGGAATTTTGGTCGTACATCCTCCAGGTCGCGGTGACTGATCCCTGTGTTGGGAGTGAAAACAGACTATTGTGAAACGATACACTTAACAAAGGATAAATGCTACTCGTGAGTTTTGTAGTAGCTTGATTTTAATCACGAAGATTTGCTGTGATAGCTAAAGATTTATGGCACATTGGCAAATCACAGTCGCTGGTATGCACATGAAAGTAGGTGGAACCCCTGTGCGGAAATCTGACCACCATCTGTCCACCTACATAACCTCGTCAATCCTGGCGAGACGTACTTTTTAAACTAAAGTCACGTGAGCCCAGTGAACAGTTCATTGACTTAGCTAGTTATTACAGGCCAGGCTCTCTAGGAATGAAATTGTTGTGAGATTTCAGTGAATTCGCCTGCACAGTGCAACTGATCCGAACAACCGAATATTACAGAAGTGACAGATGCACGTCACCGTGTCACGTGATCTTCGTTCGGAATGGCTGATTTTGTCTGATACTGCCAAAGTGCATGCGAACTTGATACCGAATTGCCTAGCCTTGCAACAAACCGACATTTAGGTGGCGCAGCTCTTTTAGGAACTAAGCCGTGTAGCAGGCCGATCGACTGATGCACGTAATGAAACTACTATGATATTCATTAAATTTCTAGATCTAAAAGTGCATCATCGCTTACGTGCTAAGGCTAAGGATGGCTCCTAACGAAGAGGTCAAGAAAGCTGTTCCATTTCTTCCCGTTGAGTAGTCCGTTCCCACAGAGGATGATAGAAAAATGTTTAGTATGGACGCATCTGCATAAGCAAAACTTATAAGCCCTATAGTATGTACCATTAACACGTTGCAAAATTGTTTATCGAGTCGGATGGCTGGGCTTCTTCTTGTGAACAAGATTTTTGCAAGGTGTAGCAGCTTTTAACAAGCTCCCTGTGTGATTCTATCGAAAAAACGAGGTATCAGGTAAATTCGAGTGAATAACATGAGAGGATGAAAAGACAGGATGGGCTTATCACTAGGAGTGGGCTCAGATGATGGAGATCAAAAGGCTCGAGATAGCTCAGTGATCAGAGCTTACTAGCCGGAAGGTTCGTGGTTCGAACCCATTCCCGGAATCTCGACTGCTCTTCTCTAGGAAGAATAATGGGCCCAACAACAAGCCTTTTCACGTTTGAGTAAAAAAATGAACCCAAAAATATTCGCTCCATGTGCCCCAGTCACCCGCATCAGTCACAAATCAAATTTCTATGACGCCATAGGATAAGCCATCGTGCGATGAGTTGTGTGCGTATCAGGGTAGTCTCAGAAAGCTACTGCAATTGATCGGGTTCGTTTGTTCATTCCCCCAACTACATGGAGGCACAGGAACCATGATGGTCCACCCGGAAGCCAGAATCCAGGTCACCACACATTCAATGGAACATTCATTCACTCAATCGTGTCGGGCTATAGCGGCAAAATTACAGCAAACGGGCTTACTATTGAATAAAAACGCATTCATGAACACCAGCTATTCGTCTAATTTTGAGGTTGTGCTTGTCAGGAGGCTGAACAAGTCACTGGATAAAATAAGGGACCATCAAGCCTCTCACTCGCCCCCTGGCTGGTTCAAGGCTGGTTAAATGGAGAGGTGTCAGTCAGGACCAATTCGCGATATCGTTGTGCATAGATAGATTGATTTTTTCTCGAAACGAGGAACCCACACTTTTGGGTTAAACATGAACTGTATAAATAAACATTAGTGAAATACGCTCATTTGCAAACTATCTTGTTTTTGACTGAATTTCAACTCAGCATCTTGCCTGTGATGTTTTCCATCTAAATGTGCTTCGCAAAGACCGCTTCACATCTTATTAGGAACGATACTTGAGATATCGCAGCATATTTTCTTGATAGAACCACTTATAGCTTGAAAGAGTTAGTAGTAATGCTTTATGTCACTTAGTTGTCTAACCTAACCCATTCAACTAATCCTGCCACAGTCTGTTCAAATGTTCCCTTTCCACGTCGTTTGTTGTATGCAAACACACTGTTGCCAAGAGCATCAAACCCGGCGTACAGACTATTCTAGAAAGTGAAACCTTGGATACACCTCGATACGAATTCCGTTTATCTTCTCAGGCACTACTCACATCAGCAGATGTAATAAATTTCCTTCTCCTCCTCACAGACAATTTGGTCATTTTTACCATCGTTTTAACAACTACTGTAAAGGCTTAACACAATACTAGTTTGCCCTTGGAGTTGACTTGACGCTGAAAAATTGTCAACAGAAAGCTCGCAAAGTTAGCGCCGTGTGAATCCTAGCTCCTCCGTTGTCATGATCCCCATAGCGCATGCAAATCTCGAATCAGTTAGGGAATGAAATTGTTAGTTCTATTAACACAAGAGCCACGAAGGGAACATCGGTGGGAATAATCAATCCGATAGGATGTACGTGACCTTGAAAAATACCGAAATAAAATCTAGTGCGTAGTTAGGGGCTTAAAAAACGTCTACCAGGTGATATATTACTTTGGATGAATTAGTAAATTGAAGTTCAAAATCTATGAAAAACATGATAAACTGATGAAATCTGGCACCCACTCGACGAAGAGAAGTGATTTCTCCTGATGAAATCGTTACAACTATTTTGGTGAAAACACTTTGTATTCCAAATGGAATGAAGATAAACAGGGTACACTTTTAGTCAACAGGCATAAGACGGATACCTTCAGAACGCTGAGTTCTTACCTTGATAGAAGTCACATAACCCGATGGCACTAACAGTGCAAAAATCTACGCCACCTGGTCACTAGTCACATCAACGGCGTTTTGAAAACACGCACGAGGGTGTTTGAAACCTACCGCAGTTCTCGCTCTTGTCTCGTGATCTCCTTCGGAACTACCACTAGGAGCTTCCTGTTCAGAAAAGTAGTTACTCAATTGTTTCGGTTGTACCTTCTGCAGTAACAGGGCATGGATATTTCATCGCGTTTGAGACATCTGTTCCCCACTGTCCGTACTCAGGCAGTAGCCACATTGCAACGCAGCTGCTCACACTGCTTATTCTAGTGTCCGATGAACTCGACCCTGAGGCGCCAGCCCACCCCCATATTAATGGGCTGTTGGCGTCAATCTGTTTTGTGAAAACCGTGCACACATCGATTGCGTCTGTCCTGTTCTACCAGTGGAAGTAAGAAGCCATTCGGTGTGGAGCTATCTATTGGAACACACCAACTGAACAGTCGTAGACTATCGGACAGGGAAGCAAAATTCTCATATGCATCTTGTTTATACAAACAATATCCGTCTTCTTTTCGAAGGCGTCTTTCTGAACTTTCCTGGATACTCATTGACTATCACTCAAATGTAAACGAATGCTACAAAGCGATTCCACAAATTCTGTAATAAATCTCACTCTTCAATAGACGCGTGGCTGAGTTGTCAGAAAACCACATACTACTCGCTTGCTTCATCAGTAGCATCCACTGTTACACCAGCTATCCGAGCATGACCGTCGGGTAATTTTCATACTTCCTAAATCTGTGTGCAGCTATCACGTGATCAAGATAGACCACTTTGCTAGCTACAATAGATGTGCATTCCTAAGGACGCTTCACATCGGTACGAAGTTATGGAGGAACGGTGACAGAGGGCACCAGTGTAACAAGCACACTCACATGACTCTCGTTTGAACAATCGGCCCTTGTCCTGACGTCGGGCTTTTAGCTTACTCACTCAAGGGCGAACTCGTTCACCTGTTCGGACGTAAACATTCAGGTGCATCCAGCGCGCGCGGGCGCAGTGTTGGCAACAAGCTCGCATAGAATTTCAGATGACCGGATTTCAAACCTCGTCACAGCCAGGGATGGCCTCAAATAAGAGCGAAGCTCGAGTTCATTGCTTTCTCTCTTTGGTGTGAAGTCACCATGAAACCATTGTCACAATGTTTGAATAAGGATCTTGTCAGTTGAACTAGTTTGGACTTGGGGGACCTCATAAAGGATGACCTGCACAACATCTTGTGTAGAAATTGGTGGTCAACATCCGTTTGATCGAGTCTAGTGAGGGTAGTCCCCGCCTGTTTATAGAAATACTGTGCTTTGTCCGGAATACCAAACGCATTTCAGTCGCTGTTCTCCCCCCTCCGGAAGTAAAGTCAGTCTATGCAAAAAACGTTGAGAAGCCTTGTATAGCTGTTTTATTTTTTGTGGAACCTCGCGGATCTACACAAAGGATGTGTCTTCCAGTCTCAATTGCTACACGAAATCGAAATTTGCAGTATTCCCTTCGCTTGTATAGCTTTTTATTTTTTGTGGAACCTCGCGGATCTACACAAAGGATGTGTCTTCCAGTCTCAATTGCTACACGAAATCGAAATTTGCAGTATTCCCTTCGCCACCAGCAACTTTTAAGTAGCTTACGGTGAAGACGCAAGACGAGTGAACCACAGTTCTGAAACGCCGTCACTCAAGGAGCCAGTCAACACGTGACCACGTGATGTGGACTGCTCTGTGACTGAAGAATAAACAGCTCTCAATCATTTTTAAGTTTTCAGGGTGAAATTTCCGACGCTTAGGTGATTGAAGAAGGCTTGGAATAAGGCCAAACTACCCTCGAGAGTGTACAGTGAGAAGCGAATTAAATCACAGAATTCCGCTTGGAAAGGGTCAAAGGAAAGCGAATTCCTTAGAACTCACCGTCCTAGCAGGCATCACCTCAGAGAAAGTGTAGGTGTAGAACCGTCCAGGCTCCAACGGAAAAGTTCCGTCCATTGATTCCGAAAAGCTTTTGGATGACTTTGGATTGAACGTTGGTCGAAGAAAGAAGTTCACGTAGAGATGCAGTTCAGGAATCAGCTGAGTGATTTTTGTTCCTTCAGATAAACGTCGTAGTAAGTTTGTAGTATGGGCGTGACTTTATTAAGGTTACGTACATGGCAACATTGACAATACAATCAGGGGTTATCCTAGACAAATAAAAACCAAATGTGCCTCACAATAGATACACTACTCTGCACCACAAGAGAAACTTTGATAGAAACCGAATCTGATGTTTTCATGATATCCACTATGTTCGAAGGTCAGCAAAGTACGTTGCAATAGGCAAAATAGACTCGTTTGCAAACGAATTTGGTTTTGCGAGGGACTCACCTGGAACCCAGCTAAATCTCCCGGTTATGAAGTTTACAAGTGATTGAATGTGCTGAACCGCCTCATGTTTCAGTTGGTATGCTATTTGAGATACNTGAATGTGCAGAACCGCCTCATGTTTCAGTTGGTACGATATTTGAGATACCGCAATAATTTGCATAGATGTACTACACCACTCATATGGTTGCTTAGGAACATCGTAAACGGGAGATTCAGCTGGGTTCCAGGTGAATCTCCCGCAAAACGAATTGGTTTACAAATGAGTGTATCTCGCTAATTTCGTGCAATTTATTTTCAAGTCGAACATAAGGTTGACAGAAACTCGGGGACTGCAGCTACCTGATGAGCCTTAAGATGGACGAAACCGGTCGGGGGCTGTGGATGGATTTTCACCAACCTTATGAGTAGTACATTAGTTGTCGAAGAGTTTTCAGCAACCCTGTGAGTAGTTTTCTTTATGAAAATATATTGAGATATCCCGAATATCGTGCCAACTGAAACATGAGGCGGTCTGTGTGCAGCACATTCAGTTATAGAATATCGTAAGCGAGTGATTCAGTTGAGTCACCAAACTGATTTGCAAATGAGTGCATTTCTTGAAAGCAGTCCAATTTGGGTTCCAGTAGAACATAAGGTTGACGGAAACTTGGGGACTGTGCCTACCTAATGAGCCACAACAAGAGGGAAAGCGGTGGTAGACTGTCAAGGAGTTTTCACTAACCTTATAAGTAGTTTATCACGTCTATACCTTGTGGTAAGTTGAGAATAAAATTCTTCTTCCTAAGGTATAACAACCCTTTTTATCTTCTTCTCAAGGCACACTAACAGTCATGCACAATCAAATGATCTTTCTCCCAGAACAGATTTATTAACGACGAGTAAACTACTGACTAATTCCATCAGTAGCATACGTCATTCTGAGGGAATATCCGGGGAAGGGGCCTGTAATATCCGTGCGTCTGTTAGGGTCATAAAATTCAACGTTTTTATCGAAAGGCTCTGCGGGAAATAAAAAATTCCAAATTGGCTGTTAGATAGTGTCAACCAGTTCTCTGAACTCTTACAAGTTCACATATTTTGTCCAAGCAAAGCATTGACTACCGAGCACCAACGTAAAATCCCGGCTTGTTTTTTTATCCATGTGGGTCCTGTCACGCCTGAAAGCATTTGGAATATAGAGCCGATTGGGCAACTAAAGACTGTCTGAAAAAAGTTTGGAACCAATTGAGAAGGGTTTGGTAAACCGTGGAAGCCCACCGATCACTTTGCGTAAAAATTGCTCGGTATCTTCGTCACCAAATGTTACTGGAGACGAAACACTGGCTAATCGAACGACTGACGTGATCCTGCTCAAAGAAGTTTCGCAACAAAAGTAGAGTAAAGTTAAACGTGGAAGTAAAAGCACAGTTGTAGGCCATTCGTAGATAGTATTGACATGTTTCTTCTTGTGAATAAAATAAAGACCAATGCGGTTTCCGGGATAATTGCCACAAAAGTCTACTGTTACCTACCTACATACCTATATATGCAGAAGCCTGTTGACATGATGGGGTATTTATTAGTTCAAGGTTTATCAGACCTTACATTTTCCTCACCTAGGCGGGACATTCGCAGACTTCATAACATGTACATTCGAACTATCTCCAGACTTTAGATGTTCCAAGTCACATCCATCTATGATGCAGGCTTTGTCAGCAATCAAACAGTAGGCTATTTCCGCCAGTTTACCTTGAACGCTCAAGTATCGTTTGTTAACCTTGTAAAGAGAGCCAATCTATGCCTAAAATTTGAGAGGCACTGTGAAGCCGTTTTATCCTTATTGAGAGTCATCAGCATTGCGAATGTCGCAGAACCTCAGGAGGTTGCAAACACGTGACTGTGAGCAGTCGAATGGTTAGCTCTTCCTTGGGTAGCACCACTCATCCTTCACTCACTGGGTCACTTATGAACTGTCTCCTTGGGTGACGAGTTCTCAGATTGGAGTTTCACTCATCCTGTGAAAGTATCCTTCTTCTGAGGGATCTCGTCTTGCCAGTTTGAAGAATCTCATACTTTCCTGAGATGCGCACGGTTTACCAATACGGATGAAACAGCAGTACGGTGCCTTCTGGTTTTTCACTGTGGATTAGCTTCACTAACAGGATGAATACTCACCAGTCCCCTGACGTCACTATCACTAAATGATCGGTGACTCATGACACAATGCTTAATGTGTTAGCCACAATCGTCAACTGTGATCGACCTCTTACCACAGTCGAGTTCAATCACACACCTCTAGCTCCACGAACAGCTAAGAAGTATTTTGTTGGACCAGACGTAGAACATATGGTTTAGTGGAACTCGGGGACTGTGCGTAATTGATGAACCTCAAGGAGGGCAAAATCAGGGGTAACCTGTCGAAGAGTTTTCAGCAATCTAATGAGTAGTGTGTTACGCCTTTAACAGTGTTCACCTGGCTCTATCTTTTTATCGGGGAAAAGGTGTCGGGCCATAGATCAAGTTTATTGACTTTAATCTGACAAGATAGCTGGACAGATCAACTCAAGATTGATGTGCATTGAAACATAGGTATCCTGGCGACAAGTTTCTCAGCTTCGTGGGTACGGATTACAGTACAATCTCATAAGATATCTGGTCCGGTCTTTCTTTAAAAATGACATTGTAGACACCGCTCTTGAAGTAGCCAGGGACGATTCAGCGGCAATTGTTTACTCAAAGCCGTCCAACTGAAATCATTCGCATCCAGTAGCGGAAGATACGGGTTCAACAGTTGCCAAAGAACTCATATACTTTCAACTGCCAGTACAAATCAGAAACAGTGACACATAGCCGGACCGCTAGCCTGAAGCAGGCCGTTATGGCATCAAACTTGGGGAGAGAGCCTGGCAGTGGTCACTCTGTCATTACGTTTCTCGCGGATAAAGCGCCGTCCACGAGCACTCAGTGGTCATATGTTTGTTTTTGTTCGCATCTTCATCAAACCACATAGTTCGAAAGAATTCGCCTTCTTCTAAGAATTACGAGACGTCTATCGATCCGCTGCACAATTACGTGAAAAGCATCATCATCATTCACTGGTTTGATGCGGTCCACCAGATCAGTCCGTCCCGATTGTTTAGCTTTCATCTATCTACCGAGTACTCATAACCAGTTTTGGCCGTCCTCAGACACATCTGTGTGTAAATGACGGAAACTCCGGGGAATGCAGCTATTTGATGAACCCCAGTTTTGGCCCAGACACATCTGTGTGTAAATGACGGAAACTCCCGGGAATGCAGCTATTTGATGAACCCGAAGTGGAAGAATGAAAGCAGAGCAGTACTGTCGAGGTTTCACCAACCTTCAAGGTGGTGCTTTTGTTTTCACAGCTGCGTCCCATGTTAAGCCAAATTTTCACTTTTCCTCTGTATTTGAAGAATTGATCGAATTTGGTTTGCTGCGCCGATCAGTTTGTATGCCTTACATATGTCCATATATATTCGTATACCAGAAAAACGGTACATAGCAATGGAAGGCAACATCTTCGTGAGAACGTAACCTGATTTGAATAAGGAATCCTATTCGTTATCAACTCGTGCTGAGGACTCGTTGATTCACTCCGACAAATCAATAAATCAATCAGCCATGTGACCAGAACTTCAAAGCCCTACAAACCTATCAGTAAGCAAGTCGTCCTGTGGAAAGCAACACGGAATGGCTAACCGAAGATAGCCGTGACGGATTCCTCTACGACCATCTGATAAGCCCGGACAAGAACGAAGTAATCTCATGGAGTCCTATTCTACATGTTCGACAAACGTCTGGTTTTCGAGAATTTCGAGCCCGTGGGTTGTTTGTTGTCTGCGCGGATCGATGACCAATCAGACAATCCATTCTGGCATTCGATAGGAGTGGTCTGAGTTGATCACTAGACAAGACTAAAGATTTTCAACGGGGTCATTCACTTTCTTGAAACGAGTTTTCAAGAATTTCCCTCAAATACTATGAGCTGCAGGAGAACTTCGGCAGTAAAAAGGGACTTGGTGGAATGTCAACAAATGGCTATAGGGAGCAGGAGTATCGGACTAGTAAACGCCTGAGAAACAAGCAGAACTGCAGTCTGTCTGTCTGTCTGTCTATCTATCTGTTTGTCTATCTATCTGTCTGTCTGTCTGCCTGCCTGCCTGCCTGCCTGCCTGCCTGTCTGTCTGTCTGTCTGTCTGTCTGTCTGTCTGTCTGTCTGTCTGTCTGTCTGTCTGTCTGTCTGTCTGTCTGTCTGTCTGTCTGTCTGTCTGTCTGTCTGTCTGTCTGTCTGTCTGTCTGTCTGTCTGTCTGTCTGTCTGTCTGTCTGTCTGTCTGTCTGTCTGTCTGTCTGTCTGTCTGTCTGTCTGTCTGTCTGTCTGTCTGTCTGTCTGTCTGTCTGTCTGTCTGTCTGTCTGTCTGTCTGTCTGTCTGTCTGTCTGTCTGTCTGTCTGTCTGTCTGTCTGTCTGTCTGTCTGTCTGTCTGTCTGTCTGTCTGTCTGTCTGTCTGTCTGTCTGTCTGTCTGTCTGTCTGTCTGTCTGTCTGTCTGTCTGTCTGTCTGTCTGTCTGTCTGTCTGTCTGTCTGTCTGTCTGTCTGTCTGTCTGTCTGTCTGTCTGTCTGTCTGTCTGTCTGTCTGTCTGTCTGTCTGTCTGTCTGTCTGTCTGTCTGTCTGTCTTGCGGAGTAGGTTTGTGGTCGTGACAGTCTGTTCGACCTTTGACACCTTGCATGTAAAACTCAGTTGAAAGCCTGCATAGGAACAAAGTTATTTGCCTGAAAGCAAGGCACATAACTGATACACAGCAGACCTATGTCGGACAGCAGGTCGGGATCGATGGGCGACATCTCTCAGAAAGCCAACGTGAAAACTACACGGAGAAGTAAGGCATACGAAACATGACATTTAAGGAAAGGGTTTTTACTCACTAGGTTGAAATGTAATCATTAGGGTTGCAGAACGATTCGCTTTCAGCTCGCAGGGAGATTCGATGCAGCTGTTCAGTGCCACCGCTCTGACCACGTGTGTATTGGCTGATTATGAAGAAACATGTGATGTTTTTTAAACGAGAAAATCAATATGAACAGGAATTTAAAAATGATAGGGTTATTTTGCACGAACATGGATGAATTCCCGTCTGACAGAGCAAATTTTAGCCGTAGAGGAGTATTTCTAGCAATTTAGTACAACTTTCTCCACGCAAATTAAACAAAAGTCTTCAGGCTAAGACGCTACTTATAGCGTTGTTGAAATGCCTGAAAAAGTGTAAAAGCCTTGAACGATTTCAGCCCTCCCGAGGGTCATCAGGTGGGTTCAGTTCCTGAATTTTTACCAACTTTATGCCCTACATGAATCCAAATTACATGCAATTGGTGATATACACTCCTTCGCCAATAAGATTTGTGCCAGCAGGAGATTCAACAGACGACGTGGAAAACTTATCTATGTGGGACAGATTAGCGGAGCCTTTAGGGTCTAGCCAACTCACTTCATCTGCATAGGATCTTGATAGCTGTTTTGTGGCAGTATTCGTAAACATTTCTTGTTTTCCGGGAGCGAGCACAGGTGTTTTAAAGGCCATTTCTTTCTTGATAAAGGATTAATCGGTATGTGGGTGTCATGAACCACTTTCATGAGGCAAACTATGTTTTGTACCATATTGGTCTCCTTGGCCATTTCTGGGCGCGCTGTTTCTTAAGCGTGAATAAAACCCAGATCCTAGTGACAACTTTAGGCTTTCAAAAGGAACATTAGGGTTTTTAAAGCGCTCTTTCTGGGAAGGAATTGAAAGACTGTATCATTTCTTTCCAATAAATCTGTTCCAAAATCCAAGTAAAATGTGATGGAACGCAACTCAAACACACTGGGGGCTTGACTGGTGGTAATCTCCCCTCGTCGCTTCCTACCGATTTTGTTGCTTACTTACTTGTTAACAAGTAGTTAAAATAAACCGTTCAAAAACCTGGCTTGAGGTCAAACGTCCAGATAGGAATACCATATCAGGCAGTTATGAACTCACAAGGGTCGGATAGTTAGTCATCACCAAGTCAGCTTTACATCTTCACTGAGGCCATCTAGAGTACATTCAGATTGGATCAGGGGAAGAACGTGGACGCATTTGTTCAGTATTGCGTACCAAGTATATGTAGAATCAGTCTGCTCAAAAAGGTCCGATTTGTAAGCTCAAAGTCACTGGAAATTTACGATAAGATCTCACTGAAACCAGATATGAACCCATTTGTGCCAGGCCACCTGCTATTATCGAAAACATCTGCTAACCGGCTAGGTTTTTTAATCTTTTGCTCATTCTTTGAGTCTCTCGGGAAGTGTACATTATCTTTATTCCATTCGAAAGTGAGGCTATGATTGACGTTACACATTATAAAACAACAAGAAGGGTAAACCAGTTGACGATACCAAAAGTGGATTTCCCACCACACCGGTGGGCATAAGTACTGAGTACTGAATAATCTGTATGTTCATCGATATTATGGTTCGGAGTATTGAAATTTATGTAAAACTACTGAACCCAGCCTCAGTGAACTTGTTTGGATGCGGGGAACAGCTCATTGGGGTTATTGATTTATCTTACTGGGAACGCGAGTGGAGCATACTTGGTGGTGGGCGGATTTTGTGTCTTCACCTTTGTTGATATCCGCAGACTCTCCAACATCAGATGTATCATTTGCACTGTTTTGTTCACATGAGCCACGCCATGTCACGTGTTCATACATGTGACTGATGCCATGGTCCGTCTTCCCTCCCTCCATTCTCCGATGGTTAGCAGGTTGCGGGCCATCAGCACACCGGTCATTCAAGTACTCCCGCTTTCAGCAACTTTGTGATTGGTTCTTCACAAGAGAATATATTATCATAGCAAGAATATCGTAGAAATTAAGACATGAGGAGTCCTATGTGCAGTTGAAGAGTAACATAAACTAGAGACTTAGTTGGGAGTGAGTTGATTGGCGTGCGAGCGACTGTAGTTCCTCAATGTCTCTGTTGTTGAGACAACAACCGTAGAGAGAGGCCGGCAGTCAATAGTGTCAGGAAGGTTAGATTTCTGAAAGCAACCCCAGAACGTCAGGAATCTAGTGAGATTCTGAAATGGGAAGCCGGCAAGCATTCAAGTCAGTCAATCATTCAATGAATTCAGCAAAAGCCGATGAGTGTTCGGGCACGCCACAGAAGCGCCACCGGATATGATCAGCGTTCAGGTATTTCATAGAAGCACAATCGATGTTTATGGATGTTCACTAAACGCCTATCAGACAGCATGGATCAATGTTAGAAAGGATCAATGTCAGAAAGTACCCTTTCAATAGCGCGAAACCGTTGTAACTTGCTCACTCGAACGCACTCACTTGCTGCAATAAAGCTGTTGTGTTCCTTGCCGATGAGTTCTTTTTCTGGAACCAGGCACTGGAGTGGGAACAGCAGATTGGCGACTCAGTCAGACGTACCAAATAGGAAGAGCGAGCCTAAACCCGACCGCCGAAACTCATAAGTGCCTCACGTGGGCCACAGCACAGATTTAGAGGCTGTCTGGTATCGTGAGGATGATCCGAGTTAGTTGATCATTCGAAACATTCCAAAGTAGTGGGTTCCTGAGGGATTATTGGCGGGGTTTCGTGTGGGTAAGACAGGGAGACCACCACATGAAAGTGTGGCAACATAGCCGGACCTTTAAACAAGGTGGATGAAAACAATCCATTTGTGATTATCAGGTGTCACCTGAAGCCTCACAGGATATAGACTACCCTACTATTAACGAGAGATTAAGCCGCACCTATCGACTGCGCTTTCCTTCAAATGGATGTTCTGCGCCTCGTATTTCATTTGGTACGCCATCGGAGATTTCACTGTACATTACCTTCAGGTAACACACTACTCATGGGGTTGCTGAAAGGTCATGAGATTGTTGGGCTCCATGAAAGACGAAATTGTTAGTGATGAGTTTATTGCTAGACGTAGATATCGTAGTTTTACGTGGGCTGGGATACTGTCAGGGTGCCCACATCCAGACAGCAAGACGATTAATGTCCCCAACCAAAGCGGCCTGACCGCAAGGCAGCGGTGTTTGGCGAGGATTGCAATGGAACCATTTCTACCGAACAAGTCACCACATGTTCCAACTCTCAACCTGAAGAACAAAGAGACTATGTCCGTCAGATTTCTAGCCATTGACCAACCTCTTATGAGAGACTGTTTGAGTGTCGCGGGGATACCTCTCAGTATAGTTCAATGGGTGGCTGAGGTGCGCAAACCGCTACACCACGGTAAGGTCCAGTCTCTTCGTTGAAGTTTTCGGCAATCCTACGAACAGGCCAAGTAAAACAAAAGTCCTTTAACTACGGTGACTTCCACTCAAGTTGTGTGCAGTTTCACGCGCAGTAAACATACTCTTGGATTTGGTCAGCCATGCCAATCCTACTGACGTGCCTGGTTATAGGTTCGATGCTCCAAAAATAGTTCAAAACTTTCATCTGGGCTTCGCAAAGGTATTTAGAGTAAGTCTAGTTCATTTGCTCCCTTCCTGCGTTGCGTAGTGCAGTAGCTGCTTCGGTGTGTCAGAGTTTGCGCGTGTGCGTGTCCGTTCGTCGTTCCACCATCGATCTGACGTGTGACTTGCATGGCTGATTGGGTGCGTGTCCGATTGATTTGCTCACGTGCGCGTTGTATGTTGACTGGACGTGTGACTGGGTTGTTCGCCTACCCGCCACGAAAGCGGACCAGCTTGGCCGCGTGTGCTGTGAAGTGCACTATGTACAACCAAATGAATTGAAAAAATATGCCTCGTTATTTAGTTGTCTATTTTCTGACTGAAGAATGAAATACTGATCATAGGGATGTAAGGAGTTTAGAGTTGTGAAGTTAGGTGACGCGAATGAAAAGACCCCCCCTCTCAGCTGAGATACTTAGACGCAAGTCTATTATTCCTTGTTGACAAGTTTAAGTANGAGATTTCACTGTACATTACCTTCAGGTAACACACTACTCATGGGGTTGCTGAAAGGTCATGAGATTGTTGGGCTCCATGAAAGACGAAATTGTTAGTGATGAGTTTATTGCTAGACGTAGATATCGTAGTTTTACGTGGGCTGGGATACTGTCAGGGTGCCCACATCCAGACAGCAAGACGATTAATGTCCCCAACCAAAGCGGCCTGACCGCAAGGCAGCGGTGTTTGGCGAGGATTGCAATGGAACCATTTCTACCGAACAAGTCACCACATGTTCCAACTCTCAACCTGAAGAACAAAGAGACTATGTCCGTCAGATTTCTAGCCATTGACCAACCTCTTATGAGAGACTGTTTGAGTGTCGCGGGGATACCTCTCAGTATAGTTCAATGGGTGGCTGAGGTGCGCAAACCGCTACACCACGGTAAGGTCCAGTCTCTTCGTTGAAGTTTTCGGCAATCCTACGAACAGGCCAAGTAAAACAAAAGTCCTTTAACTACGGTGACTTCCACTCAAGTTGTGTGCAGTTTCACGCGCAGTAAACATACTCTTGGATTTGGTCAGCCATGCCAATCCTACTGACGTGCCTGGTTATAGGTTCGATGCTCCAAAAATAGTTCAAAACTTTCATCTGGGCTTCGCAAAGGTATTTAGAGTAAGTCTAGTTCATTTGCTCCCTTCCTGCGTTGCGTAGTGCAGTAGCTGCTTCGGTGTGTCAGAGTTTGCGCATGTGCGTGTCTGTTCGTCGTTCCACCATCGATCTGGCGTGGGACTTGATGGCTGATTGGGTGCGTGTCCGATTGATTTGCTCACGTGCGCGTTGTATGTTGACTGGACGTGTGACTGGGTTGTTCGCCTACCCGCCACGAAAGCGGACCAGCTTGGCCGCGTGTGCTGTGAAGTGCACTATGTACAACCAAATGAATTGAAAAAATATGCCTCGTTATTTAGTTGTCTATTTTCTGACTGAAGAATGAAATACTGATCATAGGGATGTAAGGAGTTTAGAGTTGTGAAGTTAGGTGACGCGAATGAAAAGACCCCCCCTCTCAGCTGAGATACTTAGACGCAAGTCTATTATTCCTTGTTGACAAGTTTAAGTAACTCAGATTAACAGGACACATTCTGTACGCCTTTGTGAGGTTCCCTCCTGACCCGTTTTATCTGTTTTTCAGGTGTTATAATAGGTTGGACCGCACTGATGAGGATGAGTGATATATCTGTCAGGCTCATGGTTCTAGTGTTGCGGGTGCTTCCACATAGGACTCGATCGATCCGGTATTCTGAGTAATAAAATGACCGAGAAATAAAATACTCCAATCAAAATACAACTTACAGCATTCAGTGTAGAACAGCTCGTTGGGTTTCCAGCATTCTTTTCCTGTTACGTGTTGGGATGAAATAGAAAGAACGACCGTTGCAAAGTTGATGATGCCTTGCATCCTAACTGGAGGTGCTCCTTTGTCTTTGGTATTCTTAGAAGCATAGCTGTTGAATTTATCGGCTTACACACATTTCTCGGAATGCTCCACTCGAACCAATCGGTATTTTGTGTGCTTAAAGATCGCTGTTGTGCTGCATCGATTCTCGTTTGCATTCCAGACGTGTTTACTAGGGACAAAATGAGGAAGTTGAATACCTTGACAGGGTAAATCAGTCTGGTTCATCACCAGCTCCCCTAGTGAGAGTAAAATAGACAGAGATTTCGTTTTGATCAGTGCATATACTAAAACGTCCTGGCACACACGAGCGTTCTGATCATTCTGCATCACAGTAAAAAACTGTAGTACTTCAGTCCTCCGTGAATTCTGAAATCGCGCCAATTCGTCAGCCCCAAACTCCGCTATATATATATATATCGTTTGAATGAGTGGAACATGAAAACAATAATGTGAAATCACCTAGCGTCCCTGAAAAGGTCATGCAATGGGAGTTGACATTGTCGTATTCATGTCACGATGTTGACGCGTGATTGTGAGACGGAC